TTACAGGGGTGGGTGGATGAGAACAGGATGGGTTTCAACACTGACAAGTGCAAGGTGATGCACCTGGGGAGGAAGAAACAGCACCATACCTACAGGCTGGGACACTCCCTTCTCATCAGTGAAGAGGCAGAAAAGGATCTTGGAGTCATTATTGATGCCAAAATGAACATGGGCCGACAGTGTGGGGACGTGGTCAGGTAGGCCAACTTCACCTTGTCATGCATCCACAGATGCATCTCAAGCAGGTCCAAGGAGGTGATCCTCCCCCTCTATGCGGCACTGGTCAGGCCACAGTTGAAGTACTGTGTCCAGTTCTGGGCGCCGCACTTCAAGAGGGATGTGGACAGCATGGAGAGGGTCCAGAGGAGGGCCACTCACATGATCAATGTTTGCTAAAGGAGCTTTCCTACCTGCTAAGTGATGGTTCAAGCCATGAAGCTAAAGAGTCTCTTGCCCTTACACTGCATATTTTGGTGTTTCATACAAAATGGAATAGTCCATTCAGGGTAGACTGAGGGTACTAACAGACATTAGATTTCTCCAAGGACTGAGTCTCATATTTTGGGATCCTACAGATGTACAAGCCCAGCGTCTAACTTTAGGTACCTGTGAAATAAATAACTCTTTTTCTTTGGGCAATCAGGCCTAATCCCAGTTAATTGCCAGTCAAACTGCATGTATAAAGGGCTATGCCACTCTCAGGTTTTGACTTGGGTGGATCAAAACTGACTCAAATATGGGATCTGTTTTTACCCTGAGAGAGTCCAATCTCTAAATACACTGGTGTTGCGACTCTCCCAAGAAGAGGGAACCCACATTCGGTTTAGCTCTGCCTAATTCAGGCTAGGTATTTAAACAAAGATTTCCCACCACTTAGATAATCACCAGGCATAATGAGAGGGTACCCTCAATTCTTCCTCTTAGAGAATCCAGTTTTGTAAAAGTATTTTGAATATTCATTGAGACAGAGAGAGGAGTAAGAGAATGGCAGTCTAGCTTGCTAGTTAAGATATTCACCTGGGAGTTGAGAAGTTTGAGTTCCAGTCCCTTTTTCTTCTTCTCATGTCCTTGTCATAAGCTGGATGTTTTTCCAGAATTGTGCAAAAGTGATGGTTCTTTCTGATGCTGCAGTGAGGTCCTTCTTTGTACAGGACTCACCAAGGAGTTGACAAATGAGCAGGTGCTTCCTAGTCTGCACTTCATTCACAAATATTCATGCCATTAGAGTAACCCCATTTGATCATGTTTGGTGTTTTATCTTCTGGTTTGTGAGCGCATGTGATTCCAGTCCATATTCTAATGAGTATCCAGTTACTCATACAAGGTGGAACAGCATCAAAAGGAGCAACTGAGAACTAATCCACCTGGGGTGCTCTAAAGCCTGGTGGTTATAGTGTTTCTATGGGAGGTAAAAGATATGCTTAGGGTCAGAAGAGGGTATAGGTCTCTGGTCACTTGTATCTTGGATGAAAATCTGGGATAGAAAAGGGTATGGCATGACCCCTAGCCCCTGGTACCACCATCAGGAACAGAGTTCCACATTTCCTTTCCTTACACCTGCCCCAATTTCACCCTAATTCAACTTAATTTTGGGTTGAATGGAATGGTTGGTTTGACATGGGAAGGCTGTTAATTTTTCAATAAAGGTAGCAAAACAGAAAAAATGTCAAGTCAGGTTGCTTCCCCCTCTCAGTTCCTTCCTTCTTCAGCTCACCCTTCATCCTCTCCCTCAGATTTTAGCTTCAGTTGTTTAAAAATAAAAAGAGCACCACACTCACACTCCACCTATTATCTGCATAAACCTAGATGCAGATGCTTCAGATGAATCTTATCTGACACCTGGCCTTGCTTTGTGATGTCTTCTGAGGATTGATGTATATGGCACACTGAAGCAGAGCATTGCTGTTTCCTTTTGACTTTTAGACAAGTGACGAGTTTGAAGAGTGAAGATGCTAGAGCTTCCTCGAGGGACTCCCCCCCCCACACATCTACAAGCATGAATATCACAGCTCCAACTATTCAATAGTAGAAGTGCACAAGAAGCACATGGTTTTTGTCAATGGTGAAAAAAAAAGGATTTTGGTGAAACCCAAATGAAAACCTATCAAAATATTTTGGTGAACCCAAAATTATTTCTGATGTTTCTGTTCCCCCCCCCCCCCCCCCCCC